AGACACACACACACACACACACACACACACACACACACACACACAACTTGACCAATAATATACGTCTATTTGTGTGTTTGTCCATAACCCAAGTTGTTTAGTACACAAGTCCCAACTTTGTAGTCGACCCCACTGCCTGGTGGACCCCATTTTCTGGTGCATCCTACTGCCTAGTCGACTCAATCTTTGGTTGGCAAGGGACACTGGGTCAAGTCACAAACGTAAAGAGACTCGTAAATTTGACCTCCTCTTACCACCACCCACCCCACCTATCCCACTCCCTCACCCACCCCACCTATCCCACCCCCTCAACCACCCCACTCCCTCAACCACCCCACTCCCTACCCTACCCTTCCCCCAACCCATGACTTTCTCCCCTTACCCACCTTACTCCCAGTCCAGTCACTCCCCACTCACCTAACCCCTCGCCCACTCTACCTCCCACTCTCACCCACTCACTCCACCCTACAGTCAGTCAGGGACAACAGGAGCACTATGAGGAGAAAGATTGCAGTTATTCTGAGGCGGACTTTTGATGTATGTCTCAACCCTTGTTTAGTTTATCATTATTTTCTATGTAATATTTATAAGATTGATGATACGCTGAAGACTATGACCAAAATGTCTGTCTGTGTCTCTCGTTGTCTGTCTGTTTCGTTTCTCTATTGTGTTCATTTATTTTCTTCTTTCTTTCGGGATTTTATAATTATTTTTCTACTGTATCAGTTTTCTCAATCAATCTTGCTTTTATCTTTCTCATTTTTCTTCTTCTCCTCTTCCTCCTCCTTTTTTTCATCTGTTCTATCATCTCTCCCCTTGTTCTGCTCTCTCTCTCTCTCTCTCTCTCTCTCTCTCTCTCTCTCTCTCTCCTCTTTCTTTCCTCCTCCTCTTCCTCAATTTCCGTCTATTCTATTTTTTACTTATATTTTGCTATTCGTTTTCTGCGATAGTTCTCTCCCTCCTCAACCCTTCCATCTATTCTCATCAATCCTCTTCTCCTTTCCCCCTTCCTCTTGCGTCTTTTATTCTCCTCCTCCTTCTCCCCCTCCCGTGTCCCTTCCTTTCTTCTTCCTCCCTATCCCTTCTTTTCCCCCCTACCTTCCTTTTCCTCCTCCTCCACCCCTTCCATCTCTACCCATTCCTCCTCCCGCTTCCCATCTTTTCCTCTTCATCTCCAGCGTCCCTCCTACTCCTCTTCTTAACTTCCATCTCCATTTCTTTACAACACTCTACCATTTTTCAATTTTGTTTTTTATCTACAATCTTCTTATTCATTTCCTCAATTTCCTCTTCGTCTACACTGGTTCCTGTTTTAGCATCTCTCCTGCCCATGTCTTCGGTGTGGCCCTAAAATACTGGTTGTTGTAAAGTTAGCGATTAGAACCATAAAGGCGAGTTTAATAGTGTTTTCTGCCTTTATCACGCGTGTAATACATAGTGAAGACGTGTGTGTGTGTGTGTGTGTGTGTTTTATGTACACACGCAAACATGTATACCTATAACCTGTCATACACCGATACACCAAGATCTACTCACACACTCCCACACCTGTACACACTCCCACACCTGCACACACACCCACACCTACACACTCCCACACCTGCACACACACTCCCACACCTGCACACACTCCCACACCTACACACTCTCACACACATTTACACACACCTACACACCTACACACACACTTACACACACACACACACCTGCACACTCTCACCTACACACTCTCACACACACACACACCTACACATACACACACACTCACACCCCTCACACACCCTCACACACTCACACACCTACACACACTCACACACACCCTCCACACACTCACACACCTACACACACACACCCTCACACCTACACACACCCCACACTCACACCTACACACACTCACACACTTATACACACTTACACACGCTCACACTACCTCACACTCTCACACCTACACCCACCTCACACACCTACACCTCCCTTATACACACATACACACGCTCACACACCTCACCTCACCCTCCACACACCTTACACACACTCACACACACACCTCTCTTACTCCACACCTACACACACTTACACTCACACCTACACACACTCACACACTTACTCACACACCTACACACTCTCACACACCTACACACACACACTCACACACCTACACACACTCACACACCTACACACACAAAGGCAATCTCACACAAGCCTTGATCACAAAAAAATAGAAGCATTTTTTCCTAACTTTTCAATTTCCTCCCGTTGAAAATATTCCATTAAAAAGAAAAACAAAAGTCAAAATTAAACAACAATCGTAAAGGAGAAATGAAATAAAAACAAAAGAAACAATAACATAAAAAATTTGTTCGAGAGAGATGTTTGAGAGATTAAAATTGCGTATCTCTCTCTCTCTCTCTCTCTCTCTCTCTCTCTAAAACTCCCGCAGCGAAATAAAATAAAACGCACGTTCTCAATTCTTGTCAATTTACAATCATGAAATTCTATGACCCGCTGTAAATATCGCTTCACCGAGTCTTAGGGAAAATTTCAAGGAAAGAGTCTCTCTCTCTCTCTCTCTCTCTCTCTCTCTCTCTCTCTCTCTCTCTCTCTCTCTCTCTCTCTCTCTCTCTCTCTCTCTCTCTCTCTCTCTCTCGTTATAGTGGAAAGAAGGAGAGGATCTCTAAATTCAAGTTTCAGATTGTGTTCTTTTTATTTCTCATTCTCTCACTTTCAATCTCTCTCTCTCTCTTTATATTTATATATTTTTCTTTCTCTATTTATATCTATCTATCGATCTCTGTGTTCTCTCTCTCACTATTTTCTCTACATACAGTATCTCTCTCTCTCTCTCTCTCTCTCTCTCTCTCTCTCTCTCTCTCTCTCTCTCTCTCTTAATTACACAAGTCTCTGGAAAACAGTTTTAATAATTCGAAAAAAAAAATCTTCAGTAAGAGGGCGTCTCATAATGACTCGAACATCTCGGCAAAAATAATCTGGTAAAGGCGAGTCCCAGAAAACAGTTCGGATAATTCGGAAAAATGCTCCGATAAAAGAGAGAGGTTGTGGGAGGAGATTCCGGCACAAGGGTCGATCAATGTCCCTTTTTTTAAGCATTTGTGGCAACTCAAGTTAATTTACAATAGTAGGTTGGTCTCGTACTGCAGGGGCCGACCACTACAGATTCCGGCACAAGGGTCGATCAATGTCCCTTTTTTTAAGCATTTGTGGCAACTCAAGTTAATTTACAATAGTAGGTTGGTCTCGTACTGCAGGGGCCGACCACTACAACGACCCCCCCCCCACTACAACGACCCCCCCCCCCTCCCTCTCTCTCTTTCTTAGGCCTCCTGGTGCCACAGTGTCTGTCTCTCTCTCTCTCTCTCTCTCTCTCTCTCTCTCTCTCTCTCTCTCTGGTGGTTGTGTGTGTGTGTGGGGTGTCAGTCATGAGCGCTTTCATGGCGACGACGATGTGGTGTTTTGGTGAGTCTGGGAGTGAGAGAAGCTTAGGGAGTCAGAGCGAGTGTGGTAGTGAGAGTGAAGGTGGGAGGTCTTGGTGGCCACACAGTGATCGTGGAGGGTCTTGGTGGCCACACAGTGATCTTAAAGGGTCAGGTGGCCACACAGTGATCTTAAAAAGGTCAAGGTGGCCACACAGTGATCGTGGAAGTCTTGGTAGCCCACAGTGATCGTGGAGGTCTTGGTAGCCACACAGTAATCTTAAAGGGTCAAGGTGGCCACACAGTGATCGTGGAGAGTCTTGGTGGCCACACAGTGAACGTGGAGAGTCTTGGTGGCCACACAGTGATCTTAAAGGATCTTGGTGGCCACACAGTGATTATGGAGGATCTTGGTGGCCACACAGTAATCGTGGAGGGTCTTGGTGGCAATACAATGATCTTGAGGGTTTTGGTGGCCACACAAAGATCCTGTAGGGTCTTGGTGGCCATACAACGATCTTGGGGGTTTTGGTTGCCACACAAAGGTCATGGAGGGTCTTCGTGGCCATGCAGTGATCGTGGAGAGTCTTGGTGGCCACACAGTGAACGTGGAGGGTCTTGGTGGCCACACAGTGATCTTAAAGGATCTTGGTGGCCACACAGTGATTATGGAGGATCTTCGTGGCCACACTAAGATCCTTTTCCTTCACGAGTCTGGATGAATATAACCCCCTCCCCCCCCCACAACCCACAAAAATCTTTACCATATAACCGCTACAAACAGGACAAAAAAAAAATACCCCTAAAACATATTAAAACCAAAGGAATTGTTCCCTAAACTTTTCGACGCAATATTTACAATATAAAACTCCTTCTCCACGCCATTCATCTTCCTTCCTTCCTTCCTTCCTTCCTATGTTTTCCACTGTTCCCCACGCCCCCTACCCTCCCCACCCCCACCTACCTCCCCTCTCATTCCTTCTACCCTCGTCCCCTCCCACGCCTCCCTCCTCTTCCCTCCAACGCATTCCACCCTCGTTCTCTCCTAAGTACGAGAGATATAGTATTTTCAATGCCAATTTTAAGGTAACATAAAGTGAAGAGTAAAATTTAGAATTTGCCTTCCATTTTTCTCTTAAAGATAACGAGAAAGAAAGAATTACGAGGCTTACTTTCTCCCCCACACGTAACGAAGGTAACGAAAGGTAATATTCTGATTTTCCTCCCTCGTCTGTGTAATTTTTCCCATTTGTTAGTTAACGAAAGATAATTCTCTAGTCTCCTACAGGTAAAACAATACAGGTAACTCAGGTATCTCTTCTACAGGTAAACAATACAGGTAACTCAGGTATCTCTTCTACAGGTAAACAATACAGGTAACTCAGGTATCTCTTCTACAGGTAAACAATACAGGTAACTCAGGTATCTCTTCTACAGGTAAACAATACAGGTAACTCAGGTATCTCTTCTACAGGTAAACAATACAGGTAACTCAGGTATCTCTTCTACAGGTACACAATACAGGTAACTCAGGTAACAATAAAGATAACCCGAATGTCTCTCTTACAGGCAATGGATTTATACCGATTGCAGCGCTGAAAGAGATCCTGGGCGCCCTCGACGACAAACTCTCCAGCGCTGACCTGGACAATATAGTCGAGGAGATTGACGAGGACGGCTCCGGCACCGTTGATTTTGACGGTGAGACGGAAGGGGATAGGGAGAGGGGAAGAGGAGGAGAGGGGGATTGGGGAGGGAGAAGGAGAAGAAATGGGAAGAATAGGGAGAAGGGAAGAAGGAAGGAAGTGGGAATGGGAAGGGATAAGAGGAAGAAAGGGGAAGAATAGGGAGAAGGGAAAAAGAGGGAAGGGGGAGTGGGGAGGGAGGAGAAGGAGAAGAAAAGGGAAGAACAGGGAGAAGGGAAGAAGAAGGAAAGAGGAGGTGGGGAGGATGAAGGGAGAAGAGAGGTGGGGAGGAACCGACAGAAATGGAGAGTGAAGAAGAAAGGGGCGAGAAGGAGACAACGCAAGGGAAAATAAATAAAAAAGTGAAGGATAGTGAAAGGGAAATTAAGCAGATAGAGAAGGAGAGAGAAGAAAGGGTGAATAAACTGAAAAGGGGGAGAGGAAGGGAGGTGAGGGGAAATAAAAATATAGAAAGGGAAAACAGCAGAGATGAAAAGGAGAGGAGTGAGATGTGAGGAAGAGGAGAAACAGAAGATGGAGAATGAGAGAAGCAAAGAAGTAATCAACGAGCAAGTAAAAAAGAAAGAAAGAAGGAAAACATACAAAGAAAACAGAGGAGAGAGACAAACAGGAAGAGGTAGACAGAGACAGAAATAGAAAATGAGACACAAATAAGAATACAAAAGGAGAGATGAAGGATAGGAGTGAGATGGAAAAGGAAGCAGCAGCAAAAAGAAGAGGGGGGAAGAGAATTAAAAAAGGAAGAGGCAAGGAAGGAGAGAGGAGAGGAGAGGAGATGAGATGAGAGAGGAGAGGAGGAGGAGAGGAACAACCTTAAAGCCTCATTCTGGTTTAAGGAGGTGGAGTGTTGCAGTGTGGTCGTCATTACTGCTCTTCCACCCTCTCCCACTCCCTTCCACTCTCTCCCACTCCCTTCCACTCTCTCCCACTCCCTTCCACTCTCTCCCACGCCCGTCCACCCTCTCCCACACCCGTCCACCCTCTTCCACTCCCTTCCACTTTCTCCCACTGCCTTCCACTTTCTCCCACTCCCTTCCACTCTCTCTCACGCCCTTCCATCCTCTTCCAACGCCACCCATCTTATCCCACGGTCGCCCACCCTCTCCCACGGTCGCCCACCCTCTCCCATGCTCTTCCCACGGTCATCCACCCTCTCACACGCCCTCCCCACCCTCTCTCACAACCTCCCAAGCCCTCCCGATCTCCCACCCTCTCCCACGCACCCCCATCTCTCTCCCCACCACCCCTCTTCTCCCATGGCAGCCACCCCTGTCCCAAGTTCCCCCACGCCCAACCCACACGGGATAAGAAATAGAAAAGAGATAATAAAGAAAACACAAAAACCGAGGAAGGAAACTGACACACGTGAAAATAAAACAAAAATACGAAATGGAGAAAGAAACGATGGAAAGAACTACTAAAGTGATAAAGGGAACACGAAAAAGCACGGGAATGATGTTAGGAATTTAGAGAAATGGCGGAATAGAGGTGGTAAACAATAAGAAAACACGTCATTGTGGTAAAAAATAAGAAAAAACACGTATTGTGGTTGAGATGGTAAAAACACACACTACAACAACAATAATTAGACGATTAATGGAGGGATCTTTGAAATGCTGCATATTTGAAGGAAGAATATTTGAAGGAAGAATATTTGAAGGAAGGATTTTCGGAGGATATTTGAAGGAAGGAAGGATTTTGGAGAATGAATTTCTAAAGGATATTTGAGAGTGGTGGTGAGTGTACCAGTGAATGTGTGTCCAAACGTTCACATAATCACCTGTGGGTCTAAACGTTTACATAACTTACCTGTGTGCCCAAACGTTCACATAATGAGCTTGGTGAATCACAGGTATAAAAGAGCTGTGATATGACCCGCTCACTAATTACTGGTTGGAGGATCAAACACTCTAAGTGGTCACCTGAGAGTACGTGTTAATTACCAAACTCAGGTAGCGAGGGGAGGGTGCTTGAAGGGGGGAAGGGGGAAGGAGAGAATGGGTAAGAATGAAAAAAAACAGGATGAGGAGGAGGGAGGGAAGAGGGTGAGGGAAAAGTTAAACAAATGGGAAGAAGGATAAAAGATGGAAGGAAGGAAGGGAAGATCCTGAGAGATGAGCAGTAGGAAGAAGAAAAGAATGATACAGAGAGGAAGAGAAAGAGGAAGAGAGAAAAGAAAAGGAAGAGGAAGGAAAGAGTGACGTATAAAGATGAAGTAGAGGAGCAGAGAGAGAGAGAGAGAGAGAGAGAGAGAGAGAGAGAGAGAGAGAGAGAGAGAGAGAGAGAGAGAGAGAGAGAGAGAGAGAGAGAGAGAGAGACCACACTATCTAGACTGGTGAACCATCAGCGGCTGGAGTATCACTTGACCACCCACCCCCCTTCCACGACATCAAATTGTTGGTGAAGTTGTCAGGACTGTCAACTGCCCACCTAGATCACTGGACCATTGTCAGTTCTGTCAGCTGCAGTACTGTCAGATCTGTCTAGTGTTCTAGCCGATTGCTGTCAAATCTGTCAGCTGGATCTGGAACATCAGCTGGTCTTGTGTCTAAATCCGCGTTGAGGTGTGAAGAGGGAGGAGGAGGAGGAGGAGGACGAAGAAGGAAGAGGAAGACGAAGAAGGAAGAAGAAGTAAGAAGAAGAGGGATGAGGAGGAAAGAGAAGACGGAGCACAAGGAAAAAGGAAGAGGAGAAGGAAGAGGGAGGAGGACGAGGATGGGCGAGGAGGAAAGAGAAGTGGAAGGAAAAGGCAGAGGGAGGAGAAGGAAGAGGAAAAAGAAGAGAGGGGAGAAGGAGGAGGAGAAAGAAGAGGGAGAAGGAGGAAGAGAAGGAAGGAGGAAGAGAAGGAAGGGGGAAGAGGACGAGGAGGGGCGTGGAGGAAAGAGAAGTGGAAGAGTGAGGAGGAGGAAGAGGAAAGAGAAGAGGGGGAGGAGAAGGAAGAGGAGAAGGAAGAGGAAGGGGGGAGGAGGAGGAGGATCCAAAACTACGACAGCTGAAGGAAGGACGGAGCCTCGTAACTTGACCACCATTACAGATCAATATCACCAAGACGCGAGGACTCCAGGTTGTGGTGGTGGCTGGTCTCCCTGCTGACCTCCTGCCCCCTAACTGACGGCTGACATCTCCTGCTGCCCTGTTGACCCCAGACTGAGATCTCCTACTGGCACCACCTCTAGCCAGATGTCTCAGCAGAAGCTTTACCATCACCTCCTGGGCAATATCACCCTATAACAGGCACACTTCTCCTAGGTAAAAGACGTTCCACAAGAAGGCCCGCAATAGTACAGGAACTCTTGAAAACCTCATCACTATCTTCTCTAGCTGTAGGTTTAGCTGATGGATCCACTACTTGAACAATGGCCAATAATCTGAAAATGCCTACTACAATGTCTTGGCCAAGGAATCATCTCAGAAAGACGCATAAACTCTTGTCCATAAGGTTTTCATGAAAGACTTCCTGCCTTATCAAGAGTGTATCCAAGGACCACATCCCCACATCCTCCGGCCAAAGGAACTGGAGAAAGACCCGCCAGCTCCTGACTAAGGGCTCCTACTCTGAAAGGATCGTGACCATCTCCTGCCCAAGATCTCGGACTTCAAGGACAAAACACACACACACACACACACACACACACACACACACACACACACACACACACACACACACACACACTGTTTGATCATCTCACTGCCCCATCAGATAACTCTAGACTGTGGGACGTATTGACGGCGAGGCACGAGGAAACGGGATATACATAACGCTTTAAATATGTATACTTGTGTGTGTGTGTGTGTGTGTGTGTGTGTGTGTGTGTGTGTGTGTGTGTGTGTGTGTGTGTGTGCGTGCGTGTGTGCGTGTGTGTGTGTGTGTAATCAAACTTTAAACTGAAAAAAAAAAAATTAAGTTCTCCCAAAGACAAACTATAATTTAAATTAAAGACGACGGCTGGCTGGCTGGTAACACTTGCAACACAGTTCGAATCCCCGAGAAAATCACGTTTCGCTCAAATATGATCAACTTTACGCTCGAAGGCATAACCGTATTGTGACGCCCGTCTCTGACACATTTATATACACCTCACCTAACATAACATAACATAACCTAACCTAACCAAACCTAGTCTAACCTTTCATACACCCCTCGAACCTCTCATACACCACATTTAACCTCTCATACACTATATCTAACCTCATACACCACATCTAACCTCTCATACACCATATCTAACCTCTCATACACTATATCTAACCTCTCATACACCACATTTAACCTCTCATACACCATATCTAACCTCTCATACACTATATCTAACCTCTCATACACCACATTTAACCTCTCATACACCCCATCTAACCTCTCATACACCACATCTAACCTCTCATACATTCTAACCTCTCATATCTCATACACCACATCTAACCTCATACACACATCTAACCTCTCATAACCTCTCATACACCACATCTAACCTCTCATACACACATCTAATCTAACCTCTCATACACCACATCTAACCCTCTCATACACCACATCTAACCTCTCATCTCTCATACACCACATCTAACCTCTCATACACCACATCTAACCTCTCATACACCACATCTAACCTCTACATCCTCTCATACACACCTAACCTCTCTAACACCACATCTAACCTCTCATACACCCCATCTAACCTCTCATACACCCCATCTAACCTCTCATACACCCCATCTAACCTCTCATACTCCACATCTAACCTCTCATACACATCTAACCTCTCATACACCCCATCTAACCTCTCATACACCCCATCTAACCTCTCATACACCACTTCTAACCTCTCATACTCCACATCTAACCTCTCATACACCACATCTAACCTCTCATACACCCCATCTAACCTCTCATACACCACATCTAACCTCTCATACACCACATCTAACAAGAAGAGCTCAATCATAGTATCATGGGTCGCCTTCGCTCTCTGACCTCTAATTAAAGTAACATTTAAGCATCGAATTGTTAACACTAAACTCTCCAACGAGCTGAGTTAAAACATCATATTTGTTTGGGTAACTTAATGGAATGTTGTGGCTTGTAAATTGACAGCCCTCTGGTGGGGATGCGTGAGGGGGGAAGAGAGGGGAAGAGGAGGAGGGATGAGGAGGGAGGTGAGGTGAGGTGGAAGAGGAGGTGGAGGAAGGAGATGAAGAGGGTGAGGTGGAAGAGGTGGGAGATGAAGAGGGTGAGGAGGAAGGGGAGGAGGAGGAGAAGGAGGAGGAGGAAGGGGGGAGGAGGAGGAAGGAGGAGGGGGGGATAAGAGGTGAGGAGGAAGAGGAGTTGGGATTAAGGGTTGGAGGATGAACAAGAGGAGAAGAATGAGGAGTAAGGTGCGAGGAAAGAAAGTGAGGAGAAGGAGGATAAGGAGGAGGAGGAGTAGGAGGTTGGATAAGTGAATGCGCGTGTATATTTAGTAATATATAGTGTGTGTTGTGTGTATACATTAGGTGGTAGCGTATATATAAGAAAACCATCATATATATGTATACCAACATCTGTTTAATATCACTCAGACTAAATATTCTACAGGTATTATTAACTGTTAGAATCCTCCACTAAAACCACATAACCCTGTAAATAATTCTCACATTATCAGCTAAAGTGTCGCTTCTCTCCCCGACAGAGTTTATGGAGATGATGACAGGCGACTAGTCCAGCAGGTGGAGTCCTCTGGTGGCCTCGCGGCGCACTAATACCCGGGACCACCCCCCACCAACAGCCTCCCGTCCTCTCTCTCTCTCTCTCCCCCACCTCTCACCCACTCTCCTTTCCCTGCTGCTCTCTCCCCCCTACTCCTTCTCCCTCCTCCCCCTCCTCTTTAACCTTCCTTCTACTTCCAAGCTGTTCTCTCCTCCTCCCCCCCCCCACCTCTCCCTCCCGCCCTACCCAACTCTTCCCTTCCTATTTCCTTCCTCCCGCCTCTCACCCGCGCCTCGTTAACTATGTGTATACACTGGGTTACGCAACTCTTAATATTATTTGGAAGTCAAATATTTTGTCCCACGGCGTTTATATTTAATTTATGTTTGAGTTTGTCACCAAAAAATATCACGGGGAGGGGAGGAGGGGTCTGGGTTTCTGTTTGTCTGTCCTCGCGAATTAATGAATAAGGTTTTTAAGTAATTTCTTGTTTATTTATGTACCTTGAACCATCTCTTCCCCTCACCTGCTTAAAACATTTCTCGTTTAGTACAAAATAAAGAAAACTAATGAAGAATAACTACAGGTGCATGTGAAGTAGTTAATAGAACACTAAACATAACTAAGACTCCTGATTCTCGGATAAACACTAAGAACTGTCATGAAATATACTGTAATATCCATATAAGCTGTAACACTCCCGGGTACTGCCAGGATTGTAACTTTAACTGAGCACCAAGAAGAGGAAAGATAATCAAGTGTACAAAGCGTGAAAATACCAATAAAGATCACCCAAAACCAAGCATAAACACCTGTAGGAGCCTCACACCTGCACAACACCTGTAGGAGCCTAACAGCTGCACAACACCTGTAGAAGCCTAACACCTGCATAACACCTGTAGGAGCCTAACATCCTGCACAACACCTATAGGAGCCTAACACCTGCACAACACCTGTAGGAGCCTAACACCTACAGAACACCTGTAGGAGCCTAACATCTGCAGAACACCTGTAGGAGCCTAACACCTCTCACAACACCTGTAGGAGCCTAACACATGCATAACACCTGTAGGAACCAAACAGCTGCACAACACCTGTAGGAGCCTAACAAATGCACAACACCTAGAGGTGTTTAACACCTGCACAATACCTGTAGGAGCCTAACACCTGCACAACACCTGTAGGAGTCTTACAGTTGAACAATAGCTGTATGAGCCTAACAGCTGCATAACACCTGTAGGAGCCTAACACCTGCACAACACCTGTAATCAACACATTCGGTCACTATATAAACACGTATTCTTAAACACCGTTGTGATATACCATCCAACATACTCTAGATATACTTCACGAAGACAATCAAATATAACGTATACCGCGTTAATTATACCATAAGAGTAGATAAATCATACTTTTACGCTATATAATTAAAGCAATGGCTATACGCGATTATAGACATGTACCAAAAACTCAACACCATTTTCTCTTTTATGAGTTCTTAAATGTCTAATAATTTGTATGTTATTTACCATCAGGTAATTCTGTATCCATATTTATTTTAAGATAAAACATTTATATTTATTACTTATGTTGTACCTACGACTTTTTATCTTCCGGGTCATATTTATATAATTTCTCATAAACCTGGGTTAATAGTAATTACTTTGAGCCATGTGTATAACGAATGTCAACTATGGCTTGCTATTGTATGCATCACAGCACAGCATAAGCACAGCAACTCTCTTATTAACAGCGCCCAGGGACTCAAAAACCACCTGGCCTGTAAAATAATTATGATATGCTTCAAGAGTTTCTCGAAGGATTATTTTTTTTTTGTAAATTGTTATTTTCCGCACTTGAATAATAAACACTGCAATTTGCACTTTTTTTGTATGAATATCCTGAAGTGTACATTTGTGTGAATAACTTTTTACTATAAGCTCGTATGAATCACATTAAGTGTATGTTTGTATTAATAACCTTCAATTTGAGTATGAATAACTTTCACTCGTAGAATACTGTGATTGTTATTTAAGGATTGAAAAGACTCACACCGATTGACCAGACTTGACAGACACACACATGTAAATGAGGTTTTAAAATAGGATGACAATGTTAATGTTCGAACGTTCTACTGAGCTTTAACAATTAAGCATGTAGTCAAGGTTAATTAGATTAGGTTAGTGGTATTAGTTTAAGTTAGTTCGATTAGATTAGGTTTGGTTAGGTTAGGATAATGGGGTTAGGTTAGCCTAGGTTAGTGGAGTTAGTTTAGGTTGGTAGGGTTACGTTAGATTAGAGGGGATAAGTTAGGTTAGAGCAGTGGGGTTAACTTAGATTAGGATAATGGGGTTAGATTAGATTAGGATAAAAACTAAAGAAAAAAAAGACAGATCTCTCTCAGTGTTTCTTGGATGAGAGACGCCACAGAGAGACACTGCTAGGAGTCAGACAAACCACCAACATTTACACAAAGTTCCAGCAAAATTGAACCAGTTAGTGTCGAGCCAGATGACGCCGAGAGATCTTTCCGTCTTAAGTAATGGCAGCCGTCTTACATACTGTACGCTGACGTCGGTACCAAATTTATCAAAGAGGACCAAACCAGGGAACATTTCTACCAAGTTTCAAGACTACCGAGTCGGTGGTTTTGGAGCCAAAGTTGAATATGTGGAGAGTTTATGGAAGGGAGGATAAAGGGCGGAGGCTGGGAAAAGGTCGACCGTAGCAAGTCTTTTACCTATTAGACTAAACTACATAATTATATAGTCAGTATTCACTTAACGTATATCATGATGCTCAAGTGCGACTTTACGTTAATCGGATGTACGTTAACCGAATGTGCGTTGAGCTGAAAATGACTGTATAATGTAATCAACAAAGACGTGATGGTAACGGATAAAGGGATTTTTTTTGTTAACTGTTGGCCACCAGGGCATATGGCCACAAGGTCGTGTGGCCACAAGGTCGTGTGGCCACATGCTCCACATCCCAACATGGTCTTTGCTAACACAGGTATTTAATTGATATTACCGAGTCAAACTTTGAGGATCTCTTACAGTGAAATAAACCTTTGAGTTATTAGAAGACAGATGGAAACAATAAAAAAATAAAAAGATAGAAAAAGAGGGAAATGGAAGGAAATTACACGAAGAAAAAGAGGCAGAAATAAAAGAAACATAATTAAGAATACCAGAGACATGACAAGATAAGGGCAGATGAAAATAAGAAAGAGCTTGAAAGAATAATAGAATAGGGAAGAGCAGATAAAGGTAAGAATAAGCTTGAAAACAAAACGAAAGATAAGTGTAAGGTAGCCAACAGTCCGAAGTTAACTAGTATGTAAAGGAGCAGGTGAAGGGTTTTAAGAGAGGGTCACTTTATGATACACTGTAAGTATACGGTTGTCTGGCTATACTTTACAATTTTAACACCTACAGGGAAACTCGTGGCGATGCTGACCAACTCCTTAACACGTAGCAGTCTGTTGTTATTATTGTGTTCTGGGAGTATTTGTTTCTCTCTAGACACAACACCAGTAATCTCTCTCTCTCTCTCTCTCTCTCTCTCTCTCTCTCTCTCTCTCTCTCTCTCTCTCTCTCTCTCAATAAACAACAGTATTCTGTCTCTCTCTCTTTATGTCTGTCTCCCCCCAAAACAATATCAGGAATCTCTCTCGCTTTCTCTATCTCTCTCTCTCTATCTCTCCAAAACACACCAGGAATCATCCCTCACTCTCTCTCCCTTTACCTCAGTCTCTCTCTCTCTCATCTCTTCCTGTCTCTCCTAACACAGTGTCCTTGGGTTATTTCAATTGATTTCTGCCTCTGCCTCTCTCCAAAAACAGCACCAGGATTCTCTCTCTAACAACAACACAACTCACGGGAACTCGATGTCGTATCAACTTTGAATAAAAGTTTATATAACTCCCTAACGTTATTTTTCAATATCAATTCATCTTTGAAATAACGTGGAGTATTTAATATGATGATTCCTTGTGTATAAGACAATGTTCTCAGAGGTATATAACACGTAAGGTTAATTAATATATGAGGCGCGTACCACCAGAGTGGACAAAACGCCCCCCCCCCCTAAAAAAAAATAAAGGAAAAAAAAAAACCTCTGGTGCTTTCCCCTCTGTGATCTGCCGCCCACCATCCTCACCGCCAGCCCAGCACATAGTGACGCGTGTGTAGTTTTACTTAATAAAAAATCGACCATATTGTCACTTCCATTCTGAGAAACCGAGTAGTTCTCCAATCCCTTTGTGAATACATCTCGATTTTGACCATAGTGGCGCTTTGTCCACTGTGGTAGTAATTGCCCTTGATATACATTAATTATATAGAATATACTGTATCCAGTATATCAGGAGTCGTAATACAGTAGTTATGTGACGCTGTATTCACTTCAAATTCTTTATTTACACGATTGAAGACTTGGTGTGCAGGCGTGTGTAAGTGACAGTCTGCCACGCGAATAAAGCAACAAAGTAATGGCGGCCTCGTGGGTTATCCTTGGTTGAATCGGCTCACCGTTCACCGTTGTTTGTGTACCTGCACTGTATAGGTACATATTGAATCAATGTGATCAATGATGATTTTACTGAATAAATATCTATCCGCAAGAGTAGATTAAGTTCAAGCCTATAACTTCACGCCTACACAGCTCACGCCTAATCGCCTATAACCTCACGCCTACGAAGCTCACGCCTATAACCTCACGCCTACGAAGCTCACGCCTATAACCTCACGCCTACACAGCTCACGCCTATAACCTCATACCTACACAGCTCACGCCTACACAGCTCACGCCTATAACCTCAAGCCTACACAGCTCACGCCTATAACCTCACGCCTACACAGCTCACGCCTATAACCTCAAGCCTACACAGCTCACGCCTATAACCTCACGCCTACACAGCTCACGCCTATAACCTCATGCCTACACAGCTCATGCCTATAACCTCACGCCTACACAGCTCACGCCTATAACCTCACGCCTACACAGCTCACGCCTATAAGCTCACCTCAGATGACCTAAAGATCCCTTATAACAAGTACAAATTATTTTTTCATTGTTTAGATACGTCATAGTCGTAAATAATACCGATACATAAGAACAATGTATAGATTCTGCCACGTGTATCCCCTAAACACGCTCTTACACGCGTGTGTTGGGGGCGAGAGCAAGAAACCAAGCAGATGTGTACTACAGTAATAGTAAATGTGTTTATCTATTTAATTATCCTTCTTTTAATAATTTTCACAATATATTCTCATTAATATTCTGTCGTAACTTGGTTTTAAGAATATAATGAAATTTACTTTACTTTACTTTATCCTCTTCGCCACTGATCAACTCGTTAGCCACTTGGGCGGTCGGTCACGTCTCTGTTATACACTATTGGCAAGTACTGGCCATGTACTGGCTCCTGAATGAATCTGTACCTGCGTCAGTGTTGTTCAAGTCTGGTCTTGGATGAGCTCAAACTCGGTGCCGTCACAACACTGTGGCAAAGTGTTCCAAGAGTTTACAATATTCTCACTACGAGAAAGTTTACCCTGACAATCTTCCGAACTTGTGGTTTCTTCAACCATGAGCTGTGACCCCTAGTGGGATGGGCATCCGCCAGCACTAGGTATAAACTTTCGACTGAGTAAGTGCCCTCTGAGATGTTTATAAACTTCAACTAAGTCACCCCTTGCCCGCCTATAGTATAAGCTACGCAGCTGCAATCGTTCTAATCTCTGGGTAACTGAGGTGCCGTAATGCAGGCACCAGTCTGGTGGCCCTCCTTTGGACATTTTCAATCAATTGACAGTCTCTAGCATATCTCGAGGACCAGACAGGGTGATGATACTCCAAACCGGAAGCACCTCACTCTTGAAGAGCGTTACAAGGGATAGACCGTTTAGATATCTGAACGACCCTCTTATATGACCCACTAGCTTAGTCGTTTGATTAACCTTCTCATAATGGTCGAGAACTTCAATTCATTGTCAATATACACAACTAGGTCCTTTTCACATTCGGTCACTGTTAATGCTGTTTCTTTGTCCCGCTGGGACATGTGATACGCCTCCTTACTGTTGGTACGACCATGTGCTGTGTACATCCTCTTACACGTCGTGACATTGTATCTTATAGCCATTCCTTCGACTATTCTTGAAGCTGACAGAGATCTTTCTGCCCTGATCTTGTTTCAGGAATACCACCTTTTCGAAGCTCTGGAGAGATCTCGAAGTTTCGATATTTTGAGTACACTACTAGCTAATAATTACCACCAGGAAACTTGCTTCGAGACTCCTCCAAAGCTTAGAAAAGTACAGAGTTCCATGTGTTAAAGGCGATATTGCTGAAAAAAGATCAGGGCAAGAAGGTCATTGTAAATGGCGTCGTACACCCCATAACCGTTCTTGAATATGGACTAAAAACAACCACCACCGCTCCACTGTGAGGAGCCTAGCGGGTGTGGTGTGTACTGCTTATGGCCATTATGCAACCTCCACTGTGATCGGTGGATACCCTACATATCACCACCCAGGATAGGAGCGACCTAAGGATACCAGGCGTGTAACCAGTACTGGTATGATTACCTGGGAAGTATCCCATCTGCTTATCAAGAGTAGAGTGTGAGCGAGGTACCTGGTATGTGTACCTGAAGAATACCGAGGAGTTCCATACTTGTAGGTGTGGAGTTTACCTGAGATGTAGTGCTATAATCTAACATGTGGTGCTATGATGTGTTGGGTGTTATGACCGATGTAAGGAGGTCAATGGTTCTTATGAAGAATGAAGATGATAATAGTAGTTATTTGATGAAGGTCGTGTACTGGAGTGAAGTGTAATGAACATAATAGTAGTTATCTTGATGAATAC